TCAGGAGGAGGAGGTAACTCTGAAACCACAATGAACTTGGAAATATTAGTTCTAGTTCTGCTTCAAAAAGTGGAAATGTTAACTCAATTTTATAATGGATGACACGTCTCTCTTTCCATTTCTCATCATTTTGAGGTGCCTGCAGGATCAAAAAAAGGCTTGATAATTGGTGCAGCAGTTGGTGGTTCTGTGCTTCTGTTATTATTAGCCCTTGTAGGGGTTTATGCTCTCCAACAAAAGAGAAGAGCAGATGAGCAATGGAGCAGATCAATCCCTTTGGTAAGATGTAGTTCATCAATAACTCAAAACACGGTCAAGAAAAATTTGAAGTACACGCAGCAAATTATGTTTCATCGTGCGAGCATGAGTTAATTATTGTGTTCAATGTCTTACAATGTAACAGTCTGGGATTTCAAATATCAGTGCCAGTGCTCCTCGGCTAAAAGGAGCAATATCGTTCTCTTTTGAAGAACTTCAGAAATACACCAATGGTTTTTCAGAAGCCAATGATGTTGGAGCTGGTGGTTATGGAAAGGTTAACTTTGTTTGATTATCTTTCATTATCATAGAGATTATTTCCTGAAAGTGTGAGTCCACCATGTTACCTTGCCTAGCAACATATCAGTGCTTTATTTTCACCAACTCCATAATATGGTGATCTAATTGCAAGAAACCATATGCCATTCATTTGTTTGTTATTTTCACCACAAGAGTGCTTTTATTCCAACCCTATCTTGCTCACCCCACCACAGTTTCATTTTATTTTCATTTTGAAGTCAGATTATGCAGATATCCTGGCTCTCAGTAGTCCAAAGAAAAACTCCTAATCCCTAATTCTGACTTTCTTTTGGCTGGCTATAAACAGCTTGTGGCATTGACTGGCACAAGATGCGACATTCATGACCGTGTCATGGTCATTGCTTCCATTGCAGCAAGAAACACCGACTTTTCCTCTTCATTTTTCTTTCAATTTTCTTTTGTAAATACTTTTGTAAGTTTAGGAATAAGGAAGTTTATGATTGAAAGTTTTATTAGAATGGTGTGGGAATGACGAGTATGAGGTAGGAATAAAAGCCAAGTCAGCACATACCTCTTTTTTCTTTATGAAAAAATGTTTATGATACTTCAGGCTTGCCATATATCTCATCTATAGCCTCACCACTAAACTCCAATCCTCAAAACTGCAATTCCCTTCAACAGACTCCACGAAATGATATATGAAGAATAACTCATTACAGTGAAAACTATTACAGTCGCTAGACAGTTACAAAATGTATAATTTGGCAACATTTTACAGGTGTATCGGGGAATTCTTCCGACAGGCCAAATGGTTGCCATTAAAAGAGCTAAAAGGGATTCTATGCAGGGAGGGCCTGAGTTCACAGCGGAGGTTGAGCTTCTATCAAGAGTACATCATAAGAATCTTGTCAGCCTTCTTGGTTTCTGTTTGGAGCAAGGGGAACAAATCTTGGTATATGAGTACGTTCCAAATGGTGATTTGTTGGATAGTCTTTCAGGTATTCCATGCAGCTCTTCACCTTGAAATTTTAATTTTTTTAGAACTGAAACCCTTGTTCATCATTTTTCTTTAATGTAATAATTATACATCAGAAAATTGATTATGCAGGGAAGTCAGGAATCAGGTTGGACTGGTTGAGGAGACTTAAAATAATTCTTGGTGCAGCAAGAGGTCTGGCCTATCTCCATGAACATGCGAACCCTCCAATTATACACCGAGACATTAAATCAAACAACATACTACTTGATAAAGATTTAACTGCAAAAGTTGCTGACTTTGGCCTCTCCAAGTCTATGGCTGATAGTGGAACTGATCATGTGACTACTCAAGTTAAAGGAACAATGGTCAGTATTGAAAACTTCCCACCTCTCTACTAAAAATAATGCACTTTTTCCATATCGACTATTAAGGGTAATAGTGTTCTTCAAGCAATGAGGACTAAAGGTCTGTGTTTATCACAATATCATCCTAAATTATGACCGAGTATTTAATATTCTTTTTTGTTATAGGGCTATTTGGATCCTGAATATTACATGACTCAACAGTTGACGGAAAAGAGTGATGTTTATAGCTTCGGCGTGGTAATGTTGGAGCTGATAACTGCTAGAAGGCCAATAGAGCGAGGGAAGTATATAGTGAGAGTGGTGCAGATGGCAATGGATAAGACAAAAGAACTGTACAACCTTCGTGAAGTTCTTGACCCGTATATTGGTTTGGGAACAGAGCTAAAAGGTTTAGAAATTTTTGTTGATTTGGCAATGTCGTGCGTGGAAGAATCACAGGATAAAAGGCCTAGAATGGGGGAAGTGGTGAAAGTGATTGAGAACATAACACAGCTTGCTGCTTTGAACAACTCAACATCCAATTCAGCAAGTTATGAGGATGGGAGTAGTGATGATTTGCTACCATCTGTACAGCGGTCACGTCCTTGATTATACTCGTATTGTATATCAGCCTGTTTAAACGCTTTGGTTAGAATTTGTCTTGAATCTGATATTGTATCAGTATCATATGACCAATATGTCTATTATTAGATTCAACTAGAAAAACAAGCCTAAGCATTAAGTAACATTTATTCTCCATTACACAGAGCTTCTTGTTGTTGCTTAAACAATTTAGAAAAAGAAAACAGCTCTGATCACCGTATTTTAAAAACCGGCATTTTGCAGAATTTCATAACTTTCCCAATTGAATAATTTTATACAGCTTTGCTTTGCTTGTAGAAATATAAGTAAACAGCTCTGATCAACCAAGTGAAACAAAAAAGTATAGATGGATAAAAAAAATGTTATTGAATTAACTAAAACATTAATTACAAAAGAATTTACGAATACAGTGCTTGCAATTGTTGCACAAACAATACAACAGAAAAACAAAACCAAAAGGAAAAGTGGTAATTTAATTGATCATATGGAGATTAATTATCAATCTATCATATGACCATTATGGACTTGTGTGACCAATTGCACACATCAATGCCAATGTCAATATTGTTGCTCTTGGTTGCTTCAGCACCAACAGTAGCACAGCTCTCTTGGTTAGAGGAGTAGTTGGTGCAAGGATGGATATAGATATGAACCAAACGGCTGTGTTGTGAAAGATTACTGGGGATCATCATCGTCAAACAGTCTCATTTCGAACACATGATCGTCAAGCTGCAAGTAGTCTGGCTCTGACATATTGATTTGGGCAATTTGATCATCAATGTCAAGATATTCATGGCTTGTTTCTTTACTTGTCCCAAATCCAATGTCATCTGTGACTTCAATAAACTCGGAGCCAGTAGCGAAACTCTGAGAAGTATGACGCTCGGTCTCATGATCTGTACATGGTGTATTCCCCATTTCTTCCCTCTCTGCACACAGTAGCATGCTTGAATATGATTGCATTTGGGGTGTGGTGTTGTTCTCAATAATAGTAGGGCCGTCCAAATATGAGAAAGCAATATTCAGGGCTTCATCAAAATCGTCACCCAATAATTGGTTGTCATCAATCATCTCAGGTTGATGGTTTGACTGAGTGAGACCAATTGGGTTCGTAACGAACTCTGGCTCATAACTGGTGAGGCCAATTGGATCATGGTCATCAATATTAATCTTTTGAATCTTGCTCTTGGATTGTACTGGAGCATCATCAATACCATGATCCTCTGCGGCAGATTTAAATTTTCGCTTCCTTTCATTCTTATGAAGCTTCGAGTCGTTCTTCCGAATCCGGCACAACACCAATTGATCACCATCATCATTACTAACACTGGAACTTTTGGATTTGGGCATGGAAGGATAGTCTTTGAGACTGTATTCATGCATAATCCAACAACCATTCTGATCAGATTTAGGGTTTTTATAATGAAACCTCCTCGAGAACCCCAAAACCCTCTGCTCATTCTTAGGATCAAGAACTTTGGCAGAGTTCTCTCCATGCCAGCAGCCATTTCCAGCCTTCCGAGACACACGGGTGCCTTTGGTCTTCAACGTGGTGAAGAAATACAAGTCTTCACCGATCTCTAAGCCATCTCCACCAAAATCCTTCCAAATTTTCCAGGGTTCAGACGTGCCATAAAGATTGATCTTTGGCACCTCGTACTTCATTGGCTTTCCAGAAACTTTGTTGTGAAGATAATAGCCCAACAAGTCAGAATCTTTGGGATGAAAATAAAAACCTACCGGAAGATCAACAGCACAAGGGCCCATGGTTACTTCTCTCTCTGGGAAAGCAAGCAGCTTTCTCTTTAATTCTTCAATCCTGCAATTGATTCGATGGGTTTTCTTTCTTTAATCAAATATGAAGAATTTATCTCTGAGTTTCTTTGGATTTGATTGAAAAGTACAGAGAATTAATCTCTGTTTCTTCTTTGAGGAGAACTGAGAGATCATCAAAAGGCACTCACTTGAAGTGTGGGCTGGAATGGCGAGTGTTGTGAGTGAGTTAATCGTTGACTCCCCTCAGTGGTATATATACACAACATATAATATGACCGTTGCTGGAGTTTCCAATTCTAATCAGGATTTACTGTTGTGTTGCTTTACAGCTGTCAGTTGGTTTAAAATTTGAATTTAATGTGGCCGCCTAAAAATGCAAAAAGTTCGACATATTGAAACGCCACCGTCTCGCTTGATTTGTGTTGCTCTCGAGTCTCGAGACCATGGATTCACAAAAGACAAAAGAACGAAAAAAGGGGTCCGTGCATGTGTTTCATTTTTATTTTATTTATACATTATTAATGAAATTTTTCTATTTTGTCTTTTCTTCAAGGAAAGTAATTTCTTTGCACTTAATTTTTTCTGTGTTAAAGTGCTCAGTCTACAGAAGAAAACTGGAGACTCCTTCTCTGGAATGGTGGAAGAAGCTAGAATTGTCATAGAATTATAAGAATGGCGGAAGAGGCAAAACATCAAACAGATGGCGGGCTGTAGCCTGTAGAGCATGGCTGCAATTTTTATCATAGAATTATGTTACTGCACTTGCAAGCATTCGAATATGATTGGGAAATTTATTTCAATCCATGTAATGAACAATATTTCTACGTTCAAGTGTCATTGAGTTACAACAGTTTTTGTGACAATTATCATCCCTTGCACATACACTTAAAAAGGGAAGAGCATTTTACAGACAACCACTTCAGCTCCAAATCATCTTAAGAAAACGTTCCACTTGCGCTTTGCAATTCGTTGTCATGCCGGGCTTTGTCAGTAGGAGGTAGTTCGTAAAAATCTGCCAAATAAGCCAAAGCCTCTGAGTTACTATCACAAACCGTCCACAGAGATGTGATCTCTCCCTTGGAGAGGGTACCCCAGTCCTCACAATCATCAAGGAAGCCTAGAAGCTTTGAATAGAATGAGTCATAGTTCATCAACAAGAATGGAACTGGAAGCTCTGACCCGATCCTTTCTAGCTGAATTAATGCTAAAATCTCAAAAATTTCATCTAGAGTACCAATCCCACCAGGTAGAGCAACAACAGCAGTCCTATCAGAACTGCAGCTTCTAACTGCAGCATCTACCAACCCATGCTTCCTAGCAGAGAAAAACCTGCAAGTATAAAGCAGTTATGCAATTTCGCAGCAGTTTAAAAACACATTTGTAGGTTATGCAAACGCTAAACCCTAAAAGCCTTTGTAAGCTTTCTAGCAGATAAATATATCTTTCCTGCATGTGAGATACACTTCTGATGGTAGGTAAGGATGAAAATTTGATGCTGTCCATTCGCCAGCCTCTTTACCAATCTTAAATCCACCAACTAATTTTCCTGCTTGCAAAGCACCTTTCATAGCAGCATCCATTAGCCCTGGACCAGCACCCGTCCATGAAGTACATTCCAAAAGGTTTGCAATCTGCTCAGTAAAATGTGTGGAACGGAAAATCTCCTCAATTAGACTACTGTAAATTTTAATTCCAAAATGCATTTTAAGTTTCAACATTAATGTGTCAGCCCTGCAGTTCTGTTTCATTTACAGGCATGCTATGCATAAATACTTTTTACATCAATGGGTGTGCTAGGGAAAGCAAGGCGGGACAAAGTGACCCACCTCTCTACCCAACTCTAGTGCTTGCAGATAATGTGAATGATCAGGTCCCATCCTTGAAGAACCCAAATACACGACTCCTCTCCCAAGTCTGTGTATGAGTTCATAACATCGTTCTATCTCTTTCCTGACCTTTGAACAACAAACTAAAAGTTAGGAAACAAGCTGTTAAATTTGCAAGATAATCCCAGTCAGTCAATTATGCTTATAACCAGTAAATAATTATGTTGAAACTAAGGATCTATAATAGTGAGCAACATTCCGGGGCTAAAATTAATGCCTGGAACCAGTAATAAAAGCAGGGCTACAAATGATATGCTAAAACAAGTTATATATGAGAATTAGATCAATTTGTAATATACTGTTCCTCTCCAGGGCATGTGTATAAGTAATTCAAAACATTGTTGCATCTCTTTCCTGATCTTTCAACAGCAAACCAAAAATTTAGGAACTAGGCCCTTCAAATTTTCAATGTATACCCTCAGTCAGCAAATAAAGCTTATAACCAGTATTAAAAGCAGGGCTCTACATGATGCTAAAACAGTTCATACAAAAGATCAAACTCTCAACACTTATTGAGAATTTGGGTGACAACCAAACTCGGTCACAACAGCATTATTGCCAAAATATTGCCTGAAAAAACTTCCGAATGGAGTCTGACATATCAAGCATAAAACATTTGACAAAAGGCACTAGATTTTCAATTCACTATTCTATTCTACTTCAAATTTTTCATTTAGACAGTCGATCAAAATTTGGGCTTTTCTAATACAAGTGGGGTTCCCTTAGACTATAATAAGATGGAGAGAACCAGTCTACTTCTTTTATTGTCTAATTCACACTTAACAACAAATATTAGCAAGCACATATGAACATATACAAAAGGATCATTAAATCTACATACCTCATTTGGGCTTGTTCTCTCATCAAAATCAACTAATTCAGACTTGCATGATATAAGTCTTCCTGGGTGTGGGTAGGGCCTCGACCTTGAGAGCTTGAAACTAATGGCACTAATGGTGGGTCTCTCTCTTGCCCAGAAAGATTGAATCTTCAAAGTCCTTTCATGACAACTTTTTACTAATACATGAGAACCCATTGAAATTGAATCCAACACCGAAAACCCCATTCTCAAATCTTCCAAACGTCTTGAAGATTGATTTGCTGGATGATATTTGGCCAAATTCCAAATGGGTATGTGTCATTAACTCAAATTATCAGCATTGGCAAACAGAAAATTGGTATAAAGCGAACGAAAACCCAAACTTATGCTCTCACAATTTGCAAACTGTGGTGCAAAAATGTGGAACCTTTTGAGAGAAGGGGAATAGGGTTCTTCAACTATCAACAGTCCAACTTGCTTCGATATATATAAGCAAATGGGCTACCTACTGCCTAACGTGCCGTCAGGTGTCCACTCCGTTTGTTTTACAAAAGGTTATTTTTCTTCAATTACCTGTAGTAAATATTTTTTGGGTTTTTCCAATACACACACCATAACGATTTGTTTATTTTGTGATGGGAGAGGGTTTTTTCAATAGTTGCGTTAAATAACATTTTGTAGATTATTGTAGGGGTATTTTTGTTCTGGCAGCCCGACGAATGGACTTGGGCTGTTGTAAGAGAAAAAGAAAAGAAATTCCCCCAGTGCTTGAGTTCAAGAACCAGGCTCCCAAAAGAGTTTTTGAAAAGTTTGCTGAAACTTTAAGAAAACACTTTTAGGTTCATTTCACTAATAGCCAAATAAAAATAACAAATTGATGAGTGGCTTGACTTGAGGAGCTTGTGGCATGGGAGCTAAGTTTTCACAAGTCTAGCAATTTGAGAGAGAGAGAGAGAGAGAGAGAGAGAGAAGCATGAATTTCTTACAGAGAGCAAAGGTTCAAAATGAAGAACAAGAAATTAGGAAGATTTCTATCACAGGGAGAGAGAAACAATGGAAGAAGAAGATGGGATGTCTTGAGTAAATTCTTAGTTGCTTGACAAAGCTTGGTCATGCCTTGGATGATTTTTGCTGGGTAGAGCAAGCTCCCTTTTATAGGCACTAAGCACCCTAATTCCATTGATCATCCATTCCTATTTTTCCTTTGCTTCTCTTCATTCACCCTTTTTGGTGAAATTTCCTTAACCAGAGATTCTGGGTTGCAGGTTCTTTGGGGTTCCAAGGTTTTTGTGTGGCTGGACCTCCCCATGGGGTTGAGGCGCCACTTGCCTTCTTTCTTGATTTTCAAAATGGAGCTTACAGAGTTAAAGAAAATGGGTAGAGTCATTTGTCCAATGGATATTCCTTTGGTCCCTGCCATGGTTCCTCGTTGACCATCTTAAAGTTCTGACAAGGGTGGAGCACGATGCTAGATTTTTACACGGCACTAGGCTGAGCTTTGTGTACAGCATTGGGTTATTGGCATATTATTTCCAATGTCTAATGGGTTTTCGTCAGGCTACTGAAAATAGTCTATTTATTTTGGGCATTCTACTAATGTGGGTTTATCTAAGTGTTATAGCAGACTACTAGATGTCCTCCTAAGGCATTGGATTATTTTTCTCCCTCTCTCATGCTAACCCATGTGTTTGGGCCCGAGAAACGGGCTTGAGTTTTAATGCTCCCAAGTGGCTTAAAACTTTAATTCCTCGAACCCTCAATGGGTCCTGTGATTGCTTATTCCCGTCCATACCACAACCTTCTCAGCAAGCTCTGGGTAATTATGTGACTTGGGCCCACTTAAGCTTGTAACATGACATGGTATTAGAATAGCGGTCATTTACATGGCATCGTGTGTTTATTTAACATGCTTGTGCTTGAGTTTTATTGTACCGCAATAAGCTATGATCGGGCCAAGTAGCATCAGATAGGTTGGTGAGCGTGGATTTATAAAGCTGGTGCATTTTTGGCCCTTTTGCGTATGCTTGCTTGGCGTGACATGTGGCTCATGGCTTATGTAGAAACGTCCTACAAATTTTCCTATGTCCCAATTGGGCTCCTTTTGCACTCAATTATTTGTGTTGGGCTAAGAATAAATCCGGGGCCAACCCTTGGATTTTTGGGTCTCAACAATTATTTTAGAAAAATTAGACATGGTTGTCTTTATGATACATATATTTTTTTTATCATAGACATTTTCGTCATAATAACTTTTGATTGGACCTAGTGCCAATAAATAATAAGATTAGTAGATATGTTTTCATTCGATTTGGTTGAATTCTGTATAGGTCCAATCGAATCAAATCAAACTAATTATGGTTCAGTTCAAGTTTACACTTTTTTTTATTGTTAAAATCGAACCAAACTAGTCAGACTAGTTTATTTTGGCTGGTTTGAACAATTCGACTGGTTTTGTCTTGGCCCCACCTCAAATTAAATGCATTTTCAGTTTCATATTTGTCGGAGTGGAAATTTCGTATCTTCCAACAAATATTCGTCTAATCCATGCTTGAAATACTATATTCACTTGCTAAAATAGAAAAATTGTTTTATAAAATTTGAAAGCCACGGCGGATTGTAAAAGTCTATTCTTACATGGTGGTCCAAAAATTAATATATTTTGACCCATTCTATTTATTTATTTTTTTTCTGGTTCTAGCTCTCGTTTGACTATTTGAGATATCCAATTCAAAATTTCCATGATGAATCATGTTTTCTGGCTCTGCCCCTATTTCCAATAAGTAAAAGTATATTTACATCATGCAACATACATTTCTTTTTCTGTTGTCACATTTGCATGACAATGCACTTCATATATTGTAGGTTGTTAAGTTGATACATTTAATAATGATTGGTTAGAAATGGAGAACGAACTTTTAGTAAGTTTGAGATATTGGAGAAAACTGAGATTGATCGGATATATTTTAGATTCTTGTTGGTCTGGATATATATATTATGAATTTAAGATTATTGCTATCGTTGTCTTTCCAATGAATTGAAAATTACCTTTCAATGAACTTTCTTAGTTTGGAGATTCTTGAGAGACGATCTTGGATTCTTTATTAGGGTCCGTGCCTTGTTTTCCAGCATTTACCTCTTTGGAAAACCACTTTCCTTATTAGATTGAAGAACCCATCCTCATCCTCCTCTGCTTCTAACCCAATTTCAAAAATCTTTCTTTGTTCTCTGTTTCCAGACTCTCTTTTCATCGCTTTCTCTCTATGGTTCTCTGTTTTCATGGCTCCCTCTAGGCTTTATCGCTCTCCCACCACCCTATGAAGTTGATGATTGGAACAACCAATCAAGTTTGGGCAGCAAGGTCACTCATGTATTGTTCTAATCCTTATAAGTTTTGGGTTGCTAAATGTATTGTTCCAGAACGCTGATGTACCACAATTAGATATGTGCAATCCAGTTCAAAATTTGTAAGGGTTCGAGCGAATTGGGTAACTATGATATAGCTAGTCTAATAACAGTAAAATATGGGGAGGATATATATCGCAATAAGAGAAAAATGTATTTTTTGGTGGATAGTTTCAAGTTTGGGTTGTAAATGAAAGAGAAGAAGAAGGATAATGAGGAAAGGAAAAAATTTCTCCGTAAAGGTGTAGTGGGAAATAAATGATTTTTTTCATCTCACAATTGCAATTTTTTTATAAGAGAATGTGAAAATATAAATGAAGAGAGAGAAAATAGAGTGGTGAATTTAATTAAAATTAATTTCAATTTATAATAATTTTAAAAAGAAAGAATTAGTTTAGATTTAATCACATGCATTGATAGTGGGTTAATCTAAAGATGTGAAATTTGTGCCAAAATTGTGTCAAAAACCCCACGGATCCGCCCCCATTATGATAGATAATATATATGGGTATGTTATAATAATAATAATAATAACATGTATATGCATGTATATATTGTCTACAACTACAATAAAACTATTGCCAATAATTTTGTTAGAAAAGTCTACAAAAGATTAAGCGAACGTATTTGATTTATATATGAATCAAAGTGCATGGTCCGCCACCCCGAATGGTCCTCAAGTGCCAAACTAACAAGCAAAGATGACTTTGTACATGTGAAAACACATGGTCTTATGTGTTTGAGTTTAGGGTCATATCCCATTCCAAATTGACATCCGATCTTGTAATTAAGACCTTACAAACTCTTACACAAATTCGAGAAAATTCTATACATGATCTCATTTGTTAATCATACGGTTATTATATGTGGTAAATATTAACATGATAAATGTGGGTTCTATTTTAATGTTAGGATTTTCAGTTGTTTTACTTCCGAATTATGACCCTAATTGAACTCAACCCCCGAAATTAAAAAGTCAACCAATTTAGCACTTGAATTAATTAAAACAACCAATTTAGCCCTTACAGTTAAATTTTTCGAATTTCATCCACCATTGCAGCCATATGGACAGCAGCAAAGTATTAGGAAAAGTTTGGGGGCCCTCTTGAGTTCCTCCCCTACAGAGCCACCTCTGTGGGTCAGTTTGACAAGTTACCGCTGATATTAGAAAAGTCCGCAATAATGCTATAGAAAATAAAAAGCCTACACGAGTTGGTGAGAAACCAAAAACAAATTCAAAGTTGGGTGCTTTGGCTCCATTATAAATACTACCCCAAGCCTGTTGTTTTATCACCCTGCCAAGCATTAAATCAAGAGAGCTATACAATCCCACATATTACCAATGAAGTTCACAAACCCTCGAGTCCTGCTTTTCATTCTCTCTGTCCTTTCACTCTCGATACCATGGACAACTGCAGGAACAGTTTCCATTGATCGCTTTCTCCAATGCCTCACAAAATATCCTCACCCTGCCCACACAATCCAAGGATCAATTTACACCCCTCAAAATAGCTCATTTCAATCTGTTTTGGTAGCACATATCAATAATCGCAGATATTCTACAGCCGCAACTCCAAAACCTCTGGCCATAATAGCCGCCAAGAATGAGTCCCATGTCCAAGCAACAGTGCTTTGTGCCAAACATCATGGGTTGCAAATTAAAATCCGAAGTGGCGGCCATGATTTCGAGGGTTTATCTTACACGTCGGATGTGCCATTCGTCATTCTCGACATGTTTAATATTAACTCCATTGATGTTAATGTTGCGGATGAGAGCGCTTGGGTTCACTCTGGAGCTACTCTTGGAGAAGTTTATTATGCAATTGCTGCAAAAACCAACGTTTACGGCTTTCCTGCTGGGATTTGTCCAACGGTTGGTGCTGGTGGCCATTTTAGTGGCGGCGGCTATGGGTTTATGATGAGAAAGTATGGGCTTAGCATCGATAATATCGTGGATGCTAAGCTAGTTACTGCTAATGGTAGAATCCTTGATAGAAAGTCAATGGGAGAGGACCTTTTCTGGGCCATCAGAGGAGGTGGTGGAGCTAGCTTTGGAGTTATTCTTTCATGGAAGCTCAAGCTGGTACCAGTTCCACCCAAAGTGACTGTGTTCAACCTTACCAGGACCATAGAGGAAGGTGTTACAGATTTGGTTTACAAGTGGCAAACTGTTGCACCCAAGCTGCCCAAAGAGGTCTTCCTCAGAGCACAGCCACAAGTGAAGAATATTGATACCAAGGGAAACAAGACTGTGGGAGTATCATTCATTGGCCATTTCTTGGGAACAAGTGACAAGGTTGTGGCATTGTTGAATGAGAGTTTCCCTGAACTGGGCTTACAACGAAAAAACTGCTATGAAGTGAGCTGGGTGGAATCCACTGTATTTTGGGCTGAAAGTCCTATTGGAACCCCCATAGAAATTCTTCTCAGCAAGCCAACTGAACCAGAGACCTTCTACAAAGGTAAGTCAGACTATGTGAAGGAACCAATTCCAAAACATGTTTTTGATTCTATATGGAAGAAGATGATTGAGATAGAGCACATTTGGTTGGATTGGAACCCTTATGGTGGAAGAATGAGTGAGATTTCCGAGTCAGCAACTCCATACCCTCACAGGGCCGGAAACCTATTTTTTGCTCTATACTATTCGTCGTGGTATGACGAAGGGACTGAGGCCACCAACAAGTACGTTCGCTTAACAAGAGAGTTGTATGACATGATGACACCATATGTCTCCAAGAATCCAAGAGAGGCCTTCCAAAACTACAGGGATCTCGACATCGGTGCGAACCAAGATAATAAGACTAACTTTGAAACTGCTACACTTTATGGAAGGAAGTACTTCAAAGGAAATTTTGATAGATTGGTGCGTGTGAAAACCATGGTCGATCCTCATAATTTTTTCAAGCATAAGCAAAGTATCCCTCCTCTTTAGAGAGAGATGTATACTATATGTTTATGTGATATCTGTAACGAATAAATTCCACCTCTAAGAGAGAGAGAGAGAGAGAGATAGAATAAGTGGGAGGTTAACATAAATCATCTTATGAGCTATGTGTCATGCTTGATGATGTTATTAATTTTACCAAAGTATTCATTTCATTTATTGTAAAAGAAAGCTTGTAGTCTACAATGACGATCTCATGTAGCCTCTACAATATGTAATCTTTTTTAAATTAGCATATATAAATAACAAGTCCTTCTCATATACAAATGAATCCTTCTGGTACATATTTTTTTTTTTGCAAACCTCCTTTTGGTACATTATCAATTGTAGGCTGGCCAAAAATGTTGAAGCACACCCTCAAACTCTCTCCCTGTACGTCTAAGAAATGAAGAAATTATTGAGCACTTATCTACACCTCTCTATCTAATAATGTTCATGAATCATTTGTTTTGATTTCTTATTCTTTATTTCTTATTTTCCTTTTCATTCCTAAGAATATCTGCAATGGTTAGGATCAATGCAAACTCTCTTTTTTAGTTTCGAAATTGCCATTATTTATCTATGTGGTCAAGTTTTTGTTTTCTTCATGAAAATCACAAAAACCAAGCATGGGTTTATGGCATATATCCCTCATGTTTAGCATGCATACTTGAATCTTTCTCTTTCTCCATCTTTCTCTTGCAAATCAAATATGTTAAAAAGAAAAGTAAAAAACCAACCCCAGCAACCTCTCAAATGTCTCTATCTCTCTTCCCCTTTTTCTCTCTCTTTCTCTCTCTTCAATTTGGCGAGCCTCCAGTTCTCTCTCCTTTTTGCTAGATGTGGAGAGCCAAAAGTTGGTTCTCCAAATAGAGAGCCGAGTAAGGAGCCTGCTGGAAGTAGGATTTTCCTTCTCTTTAGCCAAACTACCTAACCCTGCCAAATAAGCCAAAGCCTCTGAGTTACTATCACAAACCTTCCATAGAGATGTAATCTCTCCGTTGGAGAGGGTGCCCCAGTCCTTACAATCATCAAGGAAGCCTAGAAGCTTTGAATAGAATGAGTCATAGTTCATCAACAAGAATGGAACTGGAAGCTCCGACCCGATCCTTTCTAGCTGAATTAATGCTAATATCTCAAAATTTTCATCTTGAGTTACCAATCCCACCAGGTAGAGTAACAACAGCGGTCCTATCAGAACTGCGGCTTCTAACTGCAGTATCTACCAACCCATGCTTCCTAGCAGAGAAAAACCTGCAAGCCTAAAGCAGTTATGCAATTTGGCAGCAGTTTAAAAACGCATTTGTAAGCTTTCTAGCAGATAAATATATCTTTCCTGCATGTGAGATACACTTCTGATGGTAGGTAAGGATGAAAATTTGATGCTGTCCATTCGCCAGCTTCTTTACCAATCCTAAATCGACCAACTGGTGTTCCGGCTTGCAAAGGACCTTTAGTAGCAGCATCCATTAGCCCCGGACCAGCACCCCTCATGAAGTACATTCCACAAGGTTTGCAAGAGATAGTATTTTTTTTTTTTTGGTCTGAACCACGAGGTGGTCCTGGATGGGCTCCAACTATGGATGGCACCTTTAAGCCTTAACCACAACCCAGACTAATCCCCGTTCACACCGGGTCGGCCCGTAAGGAGTAAAGTGCTGGCCAAAGTGGTGACTCCATACGAGAGCAGGGATCGAACCCCTGACCTCTCTTAAGGAATGAGAGTGCCGAACCACTCACACCAACCACCTTGGTTGCAAGAGATAGTATTTAGTAATATATAAAAAAGTTGTCTGGTATTATTGTTATTATTTTCAGTGCTTCATTTTCAAGAGATTGTATTTATATACAAAGTCAAGGTTGCATCCACTATATTAAAGGTTGATGTGGTGATAACCTATAGGAGCCCAGTGCCAATCTTCTAATTCTAATCCATGTGGGAGATTTGAGGCCACCATCTTTTCTTGCCAATAAATGAATAAGGAGGAGGTTCCTATAAGAAAAAACTTTGATGTTCAAGTCAGTACGTATTTAAGAAAAACTTTGATGCCTATAAGTGGCTTTCTATAGGCATTGAAGTCTTGGGCTCAATACTATATATTTCTCATTTATCTTCATGTTGCATCGTATGGATTAGAATTTATTTCCTTACTTAATTCTCAACGTACATAAATTATTGCAATAGTCTAAACAAATAATTTAAACTTGTACTGTCACATAAATTTCTAGATTGACAATCACTCCATTCAAATGGACCCCAAATTTTATTTTTAATTTTTAATTTATTAAAATCGCAATATACCACCGTTAAATTATTAATTTGTTATGAGTGTCCAAAGAATATTTAGGATATCACGTGGGTGTCCAAAGAATTGGCCATGAACTAAGTTATGGTTTGGGCCGCTTTGCCTATAAAGATCTAAACGACGTCACTTCAAACCAAATTCTATTGGGGATGCGGATTCTTCGGAAAGCCCAATCCAAACTTGCTCGAAGTTAAGAGTTCGTTTGGGCTATTGAGGACAAAATAGTAATTTCGTTGACTTCGTTTGTACTAAAGACCTAGCTCGGCTGCCTCACTTGTCTCAAACCCTAGCCGCGTTGCCGCAACTCCAGGAGCAGAGACACCCTTGAACTCTCCTCCTCCCAAGATGGGTACATATCACACCACTCTTATCTTCTTGATTTCATATTCATTTTCTGTTTTTCAACTTCGTTTCAGTGATGGGTACCTGTGAATTTGCTCTCGTGATGTTTTGTTTTCTCTTTTCGCTTTTCGCATTCATTTTTGTGATGCTAATCTTCAAATTTTGAATGGCTTGTAGGTATTTCCCGAGATTCCATGCACAAGAGACGTGCCACTGGAGGCAAGAAGAAGGCATGGAGGAAGAAGAGAAAGTAATTTTTGAATTGCTTTTCTTTGATTTAGATGCTTTTGTTGGTACAGATTGTTATACCGTGTTTTGGTTTCTTTCTCTTATTGTATTTTATGCGTCAGCCAAACAAAGACTAAAGTTTTCTAATTGATAAATGAATCAGAGTTGTCTTACTTCTGAATAATGTGCTTCTTTTGTTTATGTAATTATTTCTTTCTTTCTTTCCAACAAGTAGTTGAAACCTTTGTGTTTTCATTTTGTTCGTTTCTGGTGAATGGATGATTTATGAACTAGCTATATATTTGCATATGTTGTAAGAACTTTAAATGATTTACAAGTTGTGTTCTTGTTATTTCTCTGATAATTTTTTATTATTATGTGTGTTTCACCATCTAATGCCTCTGGTCATAGCGTTTGTCTTAATTTTGTTGGGCATACAGCACAAAGCCTGCATTTCTTAGATTATGAGAAGTGTTATTTAGTTTTTTTCCTCAAATTCTGGTTGCCAATTTTTTGCAAAATTTGAAGTAACACAAATCCTGTAGTGCTAAGTGGTTTAGGTTCCTGTGATGTTTGATATTAATTGATTACAAACAGTTTTTATATTTGTGTAAAATGAATTTACTTTAAAGCCTCAATGATTGCAGAATTGATTTAGTTTCAACTTGTTGTTTGAAGGTATGAGCTTGGAAGGCAACCTGCAAACACAAAGTTGTCAAGCAACAAGACAGTGAGGAGAATCAGAGTTCGAGGTGGGAATGTGAAGTGGCGTGCTCTGAGGCTTGACACAGGAAATTTCTCATGGGGTAGTGAGGCTGTGACCCGCAAAACCCGTCTTCTTGATGTCGTGTACAATGCATCTAACAATGAGCTGGTCCGTACTCAAACTTTGGTGAAGGGTGCCATTGTTCAGGTTGATGCAGCACCATTCAAGCAGTGGTATCTCCAGCACTACGGAGTTGAAATTGGCCGCAAGAAGAAAACTGCAGCTGCTGCCAAGAAAGAAGGAGAGGTAGGTCTCTTTTATCTCTTCTGGGTTGGTAAATTTATTAATTTTGTCTTTGTTTGTTCTAATGATTTAAGATATTTTGCTGTTCATGTTAAGGTTGGACTTGCCTTTCGTGTTTTCCATATTTCTGGAAGCATTGTATTAGTTTCTGAATCCTAAAGAAAATATATAAGATGGTTTCTGGCATTGTGTTAATATGCTCACTTGATGGTGGAAAGAAATATATTTGTGCGTGGGTAACAAAATTTAAAGGAAGATTAATTTACTTCTGATGACTGCATTGAATGTGGTTAACAGCATTAGGCTTTACTGCCTTTGATGGCATTTTTGTGTTATTTGTTTAATAGGAAGGTGATGCTGCTGCTGCTCCTGCTGCCGTTGCTGAGGAGGTGAAGAAGAGCAACCATGTAGTAAGAAAGTTGGAGAAGCGTCAACAGAGTCGCACCCTTGACCAGCATATTGAAGAGCAATTTGGTGGTGGTCGTCTATTGGCTTGTATCTCATCACGACCTGGACAGTGTGGCCGTGCTGATGGGTATGTGACTTTATCTGCCTATGTCTGTTTCTAGTCAGCAGATTTGTCAATAGGCACATTATTAGTGTAGTTGCAGTATTGCAAGGGCTGAAATATGGATGATATCAGCTTCTTTTTCTTGTTGTTTTGAAGTAAGGTATGTCATATATAATTGGGTCTTATAAAATTTTTACAGATATATATTGGAGGGCAAAGAGCTGGAATTTTACATGAAGAAGCTCCAGAGGAAGAAGGGGAAGGGTGCCGCTGCTTAGAATTTTGTTACCAGAACTTTAGTCCTTTAGACTCAGAATATGTTATTTCCTTCATCCTTTCCTACTTTTTGAGGGGTTGCACTTTATTTCGGTTTGATGTTGAACTGGTAAACACTGTTTCTATGGTGGGATGTTTAATCAGCAATTATATTTCATTTTGGATCTTTCTCTTTCATTTCGTAAGCGTCAACACTTGGTTGGATGCTGCAGTTTCAAACGTTGGTTTATTTTCTTACTCAATTCTCAACAAACAAGGCTTGCTGGAACTTTGAAATCATTTGGGATTAAGTAGCGACATCAATGCTTTTTGTTTTTTGGTTCTGAAAATTGGATCCGTGAGTGCATTTCATCACAGAAAGATCACAGGAAACATACAAGAAGGGTCCAAACCACACAGGAAACGGAAGGGTGCCCATCCAGCCATAAAGAAAGCAAAACCTAGAACAAAATAAGACATGCCCAATTAAAGAGCTGTCCTCTCCAGTACTTGCACAATACAAC